TATCCGTGAGCCAGTATCAGGTTCATTACTATACGGAAACAACATCATCTCAGGTGCTGTAGTACCAACATCAAACGCAATCGGTCTGCATTTCTACCCAATCTGGGAAGCTGCTTCGATTGACGAGTGGTTGTACAACGGTGGTCCATACCAATTAGTAGTATGTCACTTCTTCCTAGGTATCTGCGCATACATGGGACGTGAGTGGGAATTATCATTCCGTTTGGGTATGCGTCCATGGATCGCAGTAGCATACTCAGCTCCAGTAGCTGCAGCAACTGCTGTATTCATCATTTACCCGATTGGACAAGGATTCGAGAGGAGTCCCTGCTAAGAGATTTTGTTTTTTTAAATCTAGGTTATGATTTTTTTTGTGTGTTCTAAAAAAAAAGCTTAGTTTAAAAAAAAAGACATAGCAGAAAATTGGGTTAATTGCTGGAACCCTAACTTCTATATTTTGTATAGAATAGATGGCAATCAGCAGCGAAGTCGGAAACAGGCTTTCTTATTTCCGAAACGTTCAGAGACTAATGCATACGTTTTCTATTTTTACTTGCCTTTTTCGGACAAGAAGGCGAAAGCCAAGCAGTGCTTACTACAAAGCTCCATGTTACTCAGCTGCGCTGACTCAGGAGCCACCTGCCCCTTCGGGCAAAAATTTGTAAGAAGCTTTGTACTTGTCAGAAAGTTAGGCGGCTGGTGCAAATCTTGGTGTTAGTCAGCTTTGCTGACTCAGAAGCCACCTGCCCCTGCGGGCAAAGATTTGCACGTGCCTAGAAAGCTTGCATATTTGCGCCCAAATAGACATAGAATAGCCAACTATAAATATGGCTCATGTCTATATGATATAGTCCATGCCTTTTAGAAACAAAAGGATAACATGCATTCTCAGATGGAATGCCACTAGGTATTTCAGGTACATTCAACTTCATGATTGTATTCCAAGCAGAGCATAACATTTTAATGCACCCATTCCACATGTTAGGTGTAGCAGGTGTATTCGGTGGTTCATTATTCTCAGCAATGCATGGTTCACTAGTAACATCATCACTAATCCGTGAAACAACTGAGAACGAATCAGCAAACGAAGGTTACAAGTTTGGACAAGAAGAAGAAACGTACAACATTGTTGCCGCTCACGGTTACTTTGGACGTCTAATCTTCCAATACGCTTCATTCAACAACTCTCGTTCACTACACTTCTTCCTAGCAGCATGGCCTGTAGTAGGTATTTGGTTCACAGC